ACAGAGCAGCACCAGGAAAAACTGAGCACTTCAGCAAGTAGATGAATTTTATAGGAGCACTATTTCTGTCCTTTCCTAAGATAGCATGCTGGAAAAAAAATAAAGCCTGGAAATATTTGGAAATGTGGTTACCCATTCCCTTGCCTGACTCTGAGACAGCAAAGACTTTCCTGTCCCAAATCTCTGCTACACTTAAGGCAACACTACCCAGTTTCCTCCGCTCCTGCTGGAGGAAGGGATATCTCATGGTATCTCACATTTGTCTGGAGTCCAGAGGCCTCACTTCTCCAAATTTTTACTTTCTGAAATGACAACATGTTCAAAGGAGAAACAACTCAGGACCTTTAACTGTTTGCAGGTATTTAGAATGTTGTCAAGGATCCTGAGCTTCACAAGCTGGAGCTGGAGTTTCCCACTTAGGAAGCTACTTCACGGCGTTCCTTAGAGTTCCCAGATGAAGCAAAACAGAGCAGGGAATCAGACATCACCACACTAACCATCCCCTCCTGCTCTACCAACTGCCTTTTCCCCACCTGATGACCCTGTCACGCACTGCTGAATCCAGAACATTCACAGACCGAGAGCAGGGGCACAGAACTCACCGCCACAGCAAAATCCAACGGCAGAGCTCAGCTCCTGCTCTCCATCGGCACGCTCTCCACACGAGAGCCAATAAACCAGCCCAGCTGCTCTCCTGCAAGGTGAAAGGAAGACGTTGCTATTTTTACACCCTAACAAGAGGGACAGAGCCATTTGACTTCTCTCTTCAGAGAGGGAAATGGAAGATCGTGACCTTCCTCAGAGGCAGCCTCGTAGAGGACACGCACTTACCTGATCCGAGGAGGAATGCTTCGCAAATGAGACACTTCTCCATCGGTCCCAAAGAATAAATTCCTGAAAGGAAAAATTTTCCTCTTTGGTTGAAGTCCTTGGTTGGAAGGAAAACTAGTGGGTTGTCTTACTCACTTACCTTGAGGCACCGCTTGCACCGGAAGGAAGAGACATTGCGAACAACCACCAAAGGCTTTCATATAAATGATAATTTTATTGTAAATAAAACGATACATTGGCCTGGCTTTGCACTGCAAGCCCCCGGTCGGTATATAGAGACTACTGGTTCAAGGTCTTCTGCACAATCCAGGTTAAAGCCGCGTCTCCCTGCTCTGCGCGGTTTATGTCAGACGGGTATCGAGAGACAATGAAGTCCTCTTCCTCGTTTCCAAGCTGCCCCCCAGGTACATCTACCTTTTCTAACTGGGAAATGCAGTGAGATTTACTCCTAAGCCTGAAGTCCAAATGCCATTAAACCACAGAGGACACCTATTTTTTTCCTGAAAATTAAGGACAGACTGAATACTCCCAGCTCCAAGGGCGGGTACCAAGGTGACAGCCACAGGCCCGTACGCATGCAAATACATAAAACCTTTCCATCAGCAGCTATTAACCTCAGCACCCATCACTGGGACCTCGTTCAACCCCCCTGTACAGCTCGAAGTAGCTGGCCTTTGCCTACCAGAGCAAGCATGTACAGCAGGGATATAGATTTACTGGGGTTTCACAAGTTATCCTGGCTCTCTGGGCACTTGGGAATAACGTGTCACCTGAGCAGGTACCAACTTCCCTCTTGGTCCATTTGTTTAGGTAATTAATGGCAATGGGAACTGTCTGGAGTATCTTCAAGTCCTTTGGAACACTACTCCAAAAATACAAAAAGAAAAAATCCATATTGTTGCAACCTGCCACCAGAATTGGCAAAGATCAGATTTACTGGAGAACAAGCAAATAACCTGGAATGCACAGAATCGTCACACCAAGACCAAAATGCCAACACTTTGTTTCCTAACAAGCTCAGGGACAGCCAAGTCCCCCATTCCCTCAAGTTCCTCTCTGATGGGAATCTCAGACATTTTCCTGCTCACAGTTTCAACTGTTTTGGGACAGTGAGACTCCTATATTTTTCTTCACATGGAATATTCTCCATTTCTGCAGCACCTTCCATCAGGGATCCCAACATTCAATATTCACTATATATCCCTCCCTGGAAGGAACAGCAGAAAACACAAAGTGACATTTGGAATGGACACAATAGCTTATTGTTAGCCTGGCACTCCCTCCTCCACTCTCCCTAAATGAGTTTATTCCCAGTTTTTTTCAAATTGTGCCAGGATGAAGAGGCCAGATGTAATTCACTTTAGAGGTAGAATCACATTTATGTCCACTTGACACTTTTTTTGCTGCCAGGGCCACGTTACGAGACTGCAGTATAAATGTCAGCCTCAAGCTTATTCACCGTAGCAGTGGACTTTGCAATCCCCATCTTCCTTTTCCATAACCAAGAGGGCTGCGAGGAAACAAAGAATGCATTTTGGCTTGGCTCTACTCGTTATAAACCATCAGCAAATTCTCTGCAAAACCAGCTGCTTTTTTTCCTTTTTAAATTCATAAAGGCGTCAAATTTATTTCCCATCCTCCCCCCCTACCCCGTAACAGTCGAGTCGATATATATAAAAATCACCAAATATGATCTTTTACGATATAAATTAAAAAAAAAAAAGTATGAGGCATCACCGTTTACATGATGTAAAAAGAGCTAAAAAAGAGCGATATAAACTACATTCATAAAAGTGCATCTCCAGACATACAAGTAATGCTTTGGCTTGCTCCTGTGCCGAACGGGTGGCGTTGGGTCAGGTACTGGAATACGAGAAGTCCAAGCTGGCACCCCATGTTCTCTGTCACTGTACAATCGCTATTTCCTTTCATACTACCGACTGGAATACAAGTGTATACACAGAGTAGGCACATTTCAGCAGGGGTGGTGGGAAGGACCAGAAGCTCTGGCGGGGAGAGGACTGAGCCCATCAGTCCACGATGCTCTTTGCTCTGCCCTGGAACAGCCTTCCATGACGCGTATGAGGTAAAAGCCACAACAGATCCTGAGGATTTAGTTGCTTTGAAACATGAAAAGTTACACCATTTCCTCATGCCCTATTCTCTCCCAAAACACAGCGTGTGGGATAGCAAGGAAAAGGAGGTCTCAGTTTGGTGAGGACAAGCCAAGGGTAGAGAGAAACCTACGCAGACAGAATCGCCGCACCCCTGACTGCTGCTGTATGTCTGCAGGGTAAAGTGTGACGAATAAAAGATTCCAATCTTTGGTATATTTAGGTGCTAGTTGCAAGGCTTGAAAGAGTGCTACGGGGTGCCACTGGAGTGCTGACCACCCTACTTCTGTCATCAAGACTACGGGAACGATTTCCCATTCCTCTGCAGCATACGCAGCCGTTTACACCAACGCCAAGTGGTGTAAAGAGCTCCCTAAAACAGAGTAGTAGTGTCATGCCCTCACTTCCCTTCGGTGCAAGCGAGAGTGGAGTGCAGGCCAGAAGTCAGGCCACATGTCTTGACGATTTGGAGTCAAGTTCCAGGTTTGGAAAAGATCAATAGAAGTGCTCTCACTAGAATTAAATAAATTATGGAACAAGGGCTTTCATAAAAGACATCCCCCTAAGTGCCTGCAGCCTGAACAGTGCATCCTCGTAGTAGTGCAGGAGAGCCCGCAAGTGAAACCAGCACCAGCTTGCGTTCACTTATTACACATTGCTTTGAGTTTGGCACAGAAAAAACCCTTGAGATTGTGACACCCTCTCAGGGCTTTTGGTTGTTCGGGTTTTTTAGGGTTCTTTTTTTCCTCTTTTAATTAAACACATTATTTATCATTTGTTCAAGGAGTTTGGCTTCATTAAAACTTGTCTTTTCCTGCTATGAGCATTCACTTAAAACTGTTAATTTTACTGCATTATAAAAGCTATGTTCAAGTTTTCTTCGGGGGGAAGAGTGGAGGCATGTGGACTCTTAATACGGTTTCCAATGCAAGAGCAGAACACCTTCGTTGCTCTAGAATGCGCTATTTTACCCAATAATACATTTGCTTTTCTTAGTTTCATTTCACACAGGGAAGCTGTGATAACTCCATGAATCCCCAGCTCTTCGAAGCTGCTGCTCTTCAGGAGTGAAGTAAGGCCGCTGAGTGCCCCAGTCAACATGCAGGATCTGAGGTAAGCCATCAGGAACGCAGAGACGAGGTACCTTTCAACTGCAAAATCACGTCGATACGTGTCGCTGGTGCCTGTACAGGGATCTCCAGTTAATTTTAGGGATATGCTAGCATTACAGATGTTCTCTCTGGTTCATCGTTTGACTTAACTCCTACAAAAGCTTACTTAAATAGGGCCCTAACATCTTATGGAAACCTTAAATGAACACTTGCACCCCTGTAAAACAAAACACACACACTGAAGGGTTGAGCTTGATTCTACACAAGTAAAACCAGTGTCCAGCTAATTCTCCCTGTGAAAACCTCAATTTTCCATTAGGCTGAACTATCTTTGGTTTAAGGGATGATATGAAGTTACCAGCCAAAAAGATGGGTGCAACAGAAAGCTGTTCTGAACTCCCTTCCAGAAGGGTTTTGTTTAGACCCAGCAGTCCCAAGGAGAGGAAGCAGGAGCATCGATGTGTTGGCTACGGGGACACAAGCTAACCGACCCTATCGTCATGCTGGGACACATCAAGCCTTGAAATCAAGCTCTGGTTTTTCTAAAGTCAGTGGGAGAGCCTTTATCTTCAGCCCCGGAGTGATTGCATTCTGCTGAAACTTTTCCGATTACCCTGACATTTAGCTAGAAAGACCTCCCTCATGCCCACCCCAAAAATCCATGGTTTCATTATAAAATAACACTATTCACATACTTCTGAATCAATATTTTCTGAACACCTTCAGATGCTGAATACTCAAGAAGAAAAATATATAATAATATAGCGAGCGCATGCTCCATGACACATGGCTTTTTGCTGGATTCATGTACTATAGATGCCTCGAAAGCCCTAGCAGTCTGGAAAACCGTGACCCACACGCAGAGTCGGTCTGGATGGCTGTTGCACGTTTCTGTTCTGAAGAGTGTAGCTCTTCCAGTTCCCACCTTGGTTCAGATTCCTTCTACGTTCAACCAGTGAGACACTTCTTAGATCCCCATTCTTGGGCCTGCAGAAAACATGCAGCCAGCTGCAATTTCACATCAAGGTGACTAGGGCAAAAATGCAGCTCTGTTTGTCAGCTGTGGGTAGGACAAACATTCGTCCAGCAAACAAAGGTATCAGGCACAAGAGCAGACCCTAGGTTCCTTGGCATAACTTCCCCAAAGGACTAGGACAGCTGAGTTGGCATTTTGAAGATGCAGCACCACAACGGGCAGTTGCAACCAGACCAGACGGGCACCAAAAGCCCAGCACGAGCTGCTAGCAAGGGAGGTAATTCAGTACTGGAGCTGTGCAAACTGATGTCTGAGCAGCTCTTCCGCAGAGGGTCTGTGCCTGGCTTCCACAAAGATCTGCTTCAGAAAGTCCCTGCAATGTTCTGATATGTGGGAGGGGAGCTGGGGGTTGGTGGGTTGGGTGGCGATTTTGAAAATGGCTGCCATGGCTTCGTACTCTGCCCAGGGTGGTTTCTCCGTCAGCATTTCCACAACAGTACAACCGAGGCTCCTGGAAAAGCAGACAGGAAAAGAAAAACAAGTGAGAACTGACTCACACAATAATGCACACTGTTCAGAGAGAACTTCCAAGCAGCCCACATCAAGGTACAAGGAAAACAGCTATAAAATGGCTTTGTGCTCAGCAAACCCCGCGTGTGCACAGATTCGGAGCCAGACCTGCCAGCGTCACTGCTTTTACTACCGTCAGGCTGGCAGTAAATGCTGAGAGAGGCAGGCTGCTTTCTGCTGTGGTTCTTGCTGCACCGGGCACGGTGCATTGCCATCTCTCCTGCTCGCCTCTGCCCAAATTCTACTCTCAGTAACCATCTGCATTAAAAACAGGGGGCAAGAGGTGCTCACGAGAGGTCTCCAAAGGCACTGTTTGACCTCGGGTATTTTGGGTGCTGCTGCTGCTGTTGTATCTCAAAGGCACTTGCTGAGCTGCAAGGTAGAAAACATCCTTTTTAACCAAGGTCCGGTGAATCGGGGCTGGTTGACCCCACAAAGCCATTTCAGCAAATCCCCTGTTCAGTGCACAGCACCAGAATGCCCACACGCAAAAAAAACCCCTAATACCTCCACTTCACAAGAAACCTAACGTTGCAGATGGTCAAAAAACCAATTAGTCTTAACAGCTCCAAACGGAGAGGGCAGCAAGTTAACAGGCAGCAGGGCAGATCCACCGCGTCACGGCAGAACTCCCGGTGAAGCCGATGGGGCTCTGCGGGCTAATTCGAGGCAAGAACGTGATGACGTGGGACGGACGTGGCTGAGCTACCTTTCTGAAGCGAGCGTGACACCAATACTTTCGCGAGGAAGATAGGTTTCTGTGGTTCTGCAGTGACTGGTTTTTGTTCAAAAAGGATTAATTGCTTCCTCCAGGCCACGGATTAAGCAAAAGCAGTTGGTGAACTTCTAATATCCACCACAGTGTTTTGATCACATCGTTCCATTAAAAAGGCAAAACTACCTCCCCTACCTTTGAACTAAATCCTCTTCTGAAGTGAAAAAGCAAAGAAAAGGCATTTTCAGAGTCAGACTTGCATTAATTTTCAAGACAAGGAAGGAAAGGAATTAAATCCAGTGAATATGCAAGAAACGATTCCTTGACAAGGTTTAAAATCCAACGTGAAAATTTTACACTGGTTTCCAGCCGTTTAAGACTTACTAGAAGAGAGAACAGAAAATGCAAACCATGTGTGCTGAAGTGCTGGGGGTTTGCTCAAGAGCAAGCAGGGATATATTATTGTTTAGACTGATTTATACCGTTTAAGCAGATCCGGTTTCTTTAAGATATTCTGCAAACAGCAGGCATGTTTTTCATGTCAAGTTACTCCAGCAATAACAAATAGCTCACATATTCTGCTATTTAGGAAAAAGAAAATTGGAGAGGGGCCTGCAGCGGTGGCAGAAAGCCAGGTGGCTAGATTTGTTACGTCTTTGAGCCTCTCGGCCATATGCATCCACCCTGGGACTAACGCTGCGCTGGAAAATTCTGACCCCCCTAAATAACGATGGGGATTGTAGGAACTGGAGCTCGGCCAACGGCAGCGTCTCTTTGATGGGAATGGACCGATGTCAGCACCAAGAGGAAATCCACAACTGCATCAACCCAGGGGGACGGGCACGTGCTCCATTCTCTCCCCAAGCATTCCAACTGGGAGAGTCTGCAGAACTTAACTCTTTGCATACGAGACAAATTTCAGCTGTTTCCATTCACTGCTTGCACAGCAAACAGCACAGGCCTTGCTTTACTGTGGGGACCCTCCCCTTTTGTCACTGTCGTTGAGTTTTACAAGCTCACATTTTAAGGCCTCCAGAACCAACATTTTGACACAGGACTATTTTCCTCTTTCCTTTCAATAGAGGTTGTTTCTTGGCCACAGCACAGCTACAGTTTCCATTCACACATACTTCAGATCACCTCTGATCCGACCTGCATCTTTTGTGTTATTCCAGGTTGGGGCATCTTTCCTTTAAAGCTCAAATTCTACTCCTTTCATTTCCAGTGTGTTATAAGCATACCTCTCATTTTATAACCAAATGAATGGACTCTCCCTGAACCACCTTCAGTCTTCTCTTGTAAGGGATATAAGAAGGATGGAAACCTCGCTCCAGTCAGAAACAGAAAATCAGCTATCAGTCTGAGCGAGGAACGCGTGGAAATTGCTCCCCAACAACTGAACGAGCAGTTGCACGTTGACACTGCAAAGCACAGCCTGCAGCAGGTCATGTCTTGAGTTCAAACCCACAACTTCAGTTCGCCTTCAACTTCTGATCCAGACAAAATCTGGTTTGGGATATACGGATGACAGAACGTATATGCCTTATCTCGCTCCAGTAAAGCTGTAAATCGATCTATGGACAGACAGTTAAAGCCTCACCACACGTCTGCTTTTCTTCCATAGCCTTCTCCGCTGATCACCTCTGGGCTCATCCAATATGGCGTGCCAGTGACAGAGCGGATGCCTGTTCCAGACATACAGATTGTCTGCAGCCGTTTGCTGGCCCCAAAGTCCCCAAGCTTCACATTCCCAGCAGAGTCACGGAGAATATTGGCTCCTGGACAGAAAACGAAGAATGGAGACAGCTGTTTTCATGCAATCCAGCTGTTGGATCAGCAGCCTACAGAGCTGATATCCAACCCAGAAATACGCATGCTCATGGTATGGCTTTTTCCCCATTAAGCCTCAGGTGACCTGCTAACCATCATTTCTCTAATTCGGGTTGTAGCCAGGCCACTCGCTAACGGCTGCAAATGGGAAAAACTTCAGGGGAAAAACACAAGGAAGTGAAGGGGGAAGGGAAACGAGAGCTGAGTCAGCACCGTCATTGTTACACTGCCCGTAAACATCTCAGCCAGCCTATGCAGGGCCCCCAGGCCAATGGCTTGGAGAGTACATAGCCGTGTAGGAAAGGATTTTATTGGGATGCTGCTTCGGCCAGTATAACCATTCTTTCTGGTCAGCTGGGGAACAGATGTAGCTAATTAAACCACTTTGAACTCCTACAATAAACAAGTCAATCTCCACTTGGTCAGAGGTCCTGAACACAAGGCACCAGGGAAAAAAGCAAACTTAAGAGCTGAGCTTGTATGTGGACACAAACTAAGGCTCCGACACCAAAACCAACTCCTCCAGAGCTGCAGTAAGACAAATCTCTGTGTTGCCATTACCTGGTATGTGCCTACGTGAACTCCTCCTGCTCTCCAATAAAATGCCTTTGTACTGGGTGATAGCTTCAGCACTTCACTTCCCCATTGGAAGAGCTGAACTCAGAATAACAAGTCTGTCCAGGCCAGCACCCCGGAGGCAGAGCTAACAGTTTGGCTTAGATGGGTGCAAACCAGTGAACAACCCACCAGGTAGGAAATCCTTAGGTAACGAGCATCACAGGAGCAGTACACAGGGCGTTATTCAAGAATCTGCAGCTCATTTCCCTTTGCCACCCTAGAGGGGATGCAATGAAGATTCACAGGCAGGAACAAGGGGATATTTCTCTTGCAGCAAACAACCCTCCTGGTGCCTCTAGAGCACAGAAAAATTTGTGTGGTGTCTGCCACATCTGTTGACATTAACTCTTAAGGAGACTGGCTGGCTCTGGAGGTTATACTGGGAAGAGGAAGATTAAGGACTAATCCCAGAGGCTCTACATGGAAGACGAGAGGTTTCTCACGTGGAAGAAACAGGACAGTCACAAGAGCCTGAGGTAAGCAGGACTGTCAAGAGCAGGCATGGAGCTCTTATGGCAACTGGTAAGCCTACCAGCTGAGAAATGGTACTTTGGCCAAGCGGAGAGGGAATCAGAAGGGAATCCACAGGCATATGAGTGTGCCTTATGGGGGCAGTGAAAGTCAGGTGGCAACTCAGCCTCATTTTGCTGGGGTGTGAGGGAAAGATGAGTGTTCCTAAGAATTACAGGCCTCCAGTCTTCTATAACCTACTGCCATGCTCTCAGGTCCTGTCGCGAGACCAGCCCAACCTCCCTTACGCAGCCCAGAACACAGCCTGCCCCAAGGCCTGCACAGAGATAGAAGACCATAAAGAGATAATTGAGCCAAGCAACGTTCAGAATCCCCAGCCAGGATACCGAATTTTTAACACTTGGTTTCTTAGTTCAGAGTTCCTTTAGCATGTGGTCTTACAACACACATCACCAGCTGATCTCACCCTTTATGTCCCTGTGCACAATCATGTTGCTGTGAAGGTACGAGACTCCCTCGAGAATCTGGTGAGTGTACTTCCGGGTTACATTTTCCGTGAGAGCACCATACGCCTTCAGCTGGTCTTTCACTGACCCCTGCACCAAAAGCAAACAGAAAGAATTGGCAAAGAAATGATAAACCACAAATCTTGCAGTCGCCATTCAATTCCCATGAGCTGTGACTCTGCTGTACACCCAACCGGCAGAGGAATGAATTCTGGCCTCTTCTAAAGCCTTTGTGTGAGGCTGTCAGAGCATCTTGCCCTGTGAAGCCCCTTAAAAAGGACACGCTTTATGGCAAAAATAGCTTAAGGAGGTTCTGCCTGCTTCCTCCATCCTTACACTGTTCTGGTCCAACTCCATATGAAGACAAGCAATAAAAGAGTTTAGCAGACTGATCCAGGTCAAAAGCCTTGCAAGGTCAGTTTTAGCTTAATTTGCTGTACTGTATGACTCTGCTAATTCAGTTAGCCCGACTGACAAGCTGGCCTAAGTCTTCTGAAGTACTTTGTTAGAGCAAATTGAGACTGAAGATCTGGTGTTAGTGACTAATGAAAAGAATTTATTTCAGGTACAAGACACCAGAAAAAGCCCAAAGATGTAGTTGGGGCACAGATACAAGGAAAGTGGTGGCACTGTAAAGCCAGTATGAGAAAGGGCATACCTAAGAGGGCATAAGGTTGATTACAGAGTTAGGGTAATCACAGCAACTAATAAACCAACTAACAAACCCACCCATCTCACTTTATGATCTGCGACTGTGCTGCTTGTCTCAGCTCTTACCCCTGGCATGTACTCCATGAAGATGGTCAAGGTCTTCTCCGCTCGATCCCGTAAGCAGCCGTAATACTGAACAATACGTTCGTGCTGGAGATTCTTCAGCAGCTGAATTTCACACTCCAGGGCACTCACTTCCTATGGATGTTGAAGGAGAAAATAAGGTTCCGGCCCCAGGAAATATTCCATCCTAATAAATCTGTCCATGTCACTGGAAGGATAAGGCCACTACCACACTGAAGGAGTCTAACCCATGGCACTGGGTCACCTATCTCTTGGGAAAGGCAAGCACTACCAATGCTTCACCTTAATCCTTACTGTATAATAAGCAGGTAAGTATTGGTGCAGAAGCTCTGAACACAGGCAGTATAATATATGGATTTACTACCAGAAAAACTTTGTTCCTTGTCTTGATTCTGTCAGTTGAATGGCTTTAGCCCAGGAGGTTGAAAGCATTCTTCACACACAACACAGATATAACCTTCCTGCTCACCATTAAGCCGAGGGCAGTAAGCATGAATTTCAATTATGAAAAAGCTCTGAAAACACAGTAACAGAATTGCTAGCAATCTTTCTGTAGGAACCTCAACCTATTGCACAGCAAAAGTAGAAGTGCTGAGTTCCTAATGTCTTTTGTCACCCAGTCCTGTTCTGATTCACACTGACGATTCTCCTTGAATCAACCTTATAATGGCTTCCTCTCTCATTTCCTTCAAAGCATCTGCAGCTATGCACATGAAACTGGTTCTTGCTTTACTCCTGCCACAGACAACAGGGTATCGTAGCACAAAGGCAAAAAGACTATCCAACAATTTCAGACTGAATCGTAGATGTTTGCTGCCCAGGAAAAGTATCAGGTTCTCGCTGAATCCAGGGAATGAACAGGCTGAACATCAAAGGTACTGGAGCAGGAGGATTTATGGAAAAAAGGAATGATAGTTTCCCCCAGATGAGTCCCACTTAACTCTCTCCACTCCTGCCGCTGGAAGGTGCCAGGTTTGCTTTTCTCGCCTTGGGAGAGGAGACAGAGTTTCAAGAGTGAGGACCGGGCTGCTGCAGAGGTGCATGGAACCAGAGGAAGCTGCTTAATTGGGCCAACTGACAGTTTAAGGTTTGGAGTTTCAGTGCCTTCAAAATACATTCCAGGGTGTTCTTCCTTGGCTCAGTTACGGTCTGATTTACAGCAGAGACATAGTACAACTTACAACTTACTAATTTAGGACTTACCTTGACACCAACATCTCATATAAAATCAGAATAATTAAATCTTCGTGGATCAGTTATTCCAGCTCAAAGTGAATTTGTTCAATACTGGGAAACTGGTACAGTGTTAAAACTCTAGGAAAAAACCTAACAGCCATTCCATCTGCATCCACTGTGCAAGGAGTCATGTGGTAACCTATAACTTCAAGGTGCCCCTTCCCATCTCCACTACTTCTAATGTGTTGTCACATTCCTGATCTTGATTAATTTACATGCCACAGTTCAGTTTGTTTTGAGGACAGGGGGAATTCAGAAGCAGAAACTGGTAATTAATACATTTGATACAGGTCCTGCCACATGAGCCCAGAAAGTGGATTTTGCAAGTGCCTGCAGCTTTTTTTATTTAATAAAGAAAAAAGACCTACTCTTTCTGGGTTTAGTTTCATTCACATCCATGTCTAACCAGGAACACAGGGCAGTCTAGTATTCCTCAAGTAACCTGGCAACAAACCAAAAAGCTGAGAAGGGAGAGCCAAAAATGAAGCCAGAAAATGGATTTTAGTTTCAAGCTGAAGTTAATACAGAAAAGTAATTTTTAAATGACTCTTACTCCTCTCCACATGACTTGAAACCCCAGTACAAACTAAATAAGATACTAGCTTTCGAGGACAGAGAGATACAGGCACTTTGCAGGATCTCAAAGTGTGCATAATGAGTATTAGAAGCTGTGATGAGAATTACCTTGCTCGTTTCGGGACTCTCTGGGTCAAACTGGACCTGCTTAGCGGCAAGCTCTCTGCCCGTGTCCACGTCATAGCACAAATACACACGACCAAAGGCACCCTGGCCCAGCAGTTTTCCTCGTCGCCAGTTTATTGGAGCACTCGGAGCTAAAAAAGGAACAGTAACAATTTCTCTTTTCATTATACTACTGACAGATAATGGTGATCTTGTCAAAGAGCAATCCCCATCATACTGGGATTGAAACAGGTAAGTTGCAGCTGAAGGACAGACATGAGGCACTCTCCCAGTGTAAGGGGGGGAGTGGCAGAACTCTGCACAGAATCCAACCATTCAGACTCTCAGGACCTGCTGACTGCTGCCCCATTAAAATGAAACTGCAAAATATTTTGCAGAGATACACTATTGACAAGGTATTCAAGGAGGTTGATGAAATTTCATTCCACCAGCAGAGTGGATTCTACAACATCACTACTCAAGAAAAGGGGCAGCAACTAAACAGCATCTTCCAACCGCTGATCTGCAGTTACCAGATGCATCAGATGAAGAAGAGCTGGATCAGCCTTGCTAAATCAATCCCACCCAGCTGGGAATGACTGTTAAGCTTCTGGGACAACTTGAAGGACAATACTTCTGAGTTCTTTGCCAACCATTGGTTATTTCAGGGTTCCTTCTCCTGAGGGAAGGATTTCCCTGCAAGGCGCTCTTCAGCAGAAAAATTAGAATTCAATTCCCAACCAGAAACTGATAAGGGTGGGGCCACAGCGTAAGCACAGTGCAGGTATCCTCTTTACCTGCGGAACAGTCAGACTCTCATAAAACGATAGATGAGAACCAGGTAAAACTGCCACCTCCAATACCCC